AGTGAGGAAGTCGCCGCTTCCACATATGAAAGAGAGTTATACGCACTCCGGGAAGCTTTGGACCATTGGCGTCATTATCTCCTAGGTCGCCATTTCTAAGTGTACTCAGATCATGAGACACTTCGCTGGCTATAGAGCAGATCCGGATGACACCTAAACTGACCAGGCGGGCTGCGGAAATCGATCAGTATGACTTTGAGCTAAAGCCAGTAAAGGGTATGACACCTAAACTGACCAGGCGGGCTGCGGAAATCGATCAGTATGACTTTGAGCTAAAGCCAGTAAAGGGTAAGTATAACGTTGTTGCTGACACATTAAGTCGAAGATCTGATTTCTTCAGTGCTATTGTAACGTATTTAGCATGGCAGCAGCAGACAACCAAACCGGACAAATCCGGACACCGGACACCGGAATTCCCGGTTTAATCCGAACGTCCGGTTTTCCGGTATTTTCCGGTTAATCCGGACATGTCCGGAATGGCATGTCCGGATTCCTGTCCGGACAGGTATATATGTCCGGATTAAAAAAATAAAAAAATAAAAAAAAAATCACTTTGTGCAATTGGCACCAGAAAAGCCCTAGGGTGCATGGGGGATGTGGGAAGTAGGGGGAAACGTTTTGGAATCCCACTGAACATACCTTGTGAAAGAACATAGGTTTACCCTGCAAAGAAAGTCAAATGTCGGCCAACACCACATGAATAGGTTTACCCTGCAAAGAAAGTCAAATGTCGGCCAACACCACATGAATTGCAGCCAGCTCAACAGACACCGAATTGGCATGAATTTAAAGTCCGCATAACCTTTTATAAAACAGTTTGAACTTTGAACTTTGAGGTGTGAAGACTAGGAAGTTTGAACTTCGGGCGATGTGCTGTGCTCCTCACGCTGCGCTTGCTGCGGCTGCTGCTAGCTGTGCTGTGCCTGCTCCACGTCTGTCCTTGCCTGCTGTGCTCGCCTCCTTGCCCTGCATCTTCCTTCCTTGGGCGATGGCGGCAGTACCGGGCGTGCATACGTTTGAATGTCGTCTCGGGAGGGGGGCGGCCAAAGTCACCAACGAAGGACTTCAAAATTGAAGCCCGCTTTCACTTCGGGCGGCCAAAACAGAGAAAGCCCATTCAAATGGGCAGAAGAACAAAAAGGGAAAAAAAAAAAGACAATCAGAAGAGGAAAGTTCCGGGCGCTACCTGATCTCACTCGGAGGCCTTAAAAAACGGGCCCTAACTTTTGGTGGGCGGCCCAGGGCACGAGGAAACGCCCCGGGCCGCAAAAAAAGAGAAAATGGCCATTGCCAGAAATGTTGGAATCCGGACCGGGATCCGGACCGGTTCACCAGACACTGGACTCCGGACAGGCGGAATCCCGGTCCGGTTGTCCGGATCGCTGCCATGGTATTTAGAAATAGGCACCGATTTACAAGATAAGATTAGGAATGCTTATTCCACTGATCCTGTTTATGGCACTATGCTGAAACGTGTTCAAGAAGCGCCACAAGAGCTACCTAACTATCGGATAGCCCAAGGACTGTTGTTTGAAAGAACTGATGTGCATGATAGGCTTTGTATCCCAAACAAGGAAGAGATCAAAAGTGTGATCTTAGGGGAATGCCATGATACCGAAGGCCATTTCGGATGGAGGAAAACCTTCGCTAATCTCTTGCGTTCTTATATCTGGCCTGGAATGAAATCTGATTGTATTGCATATGTGCAAGGCTGTCAAGTGTGCCAACGGAACAAAAGCACCACGCAGCCTCCCCTTGCCTATCCCAACAGGTCCTGGAGACTGTGTCCATAGATTTCATGGACACTACGGTGAAAAAAAGGAATGGAAATAATCGTTGATAGATTCGGCAAGTTTGCTGTTTTTGTAGCATTGCCTGCGGAAGCTAAAACTGACTTAGTAATTCAGGAATTCTTTAACCACTGGGTAAAGGACTATGGTCATCCCTTGACTATCGTTAGTGACAGAGACTCTTGATTCCTGGAGACTCTGTGTCCATAGATTTCATGGACACTACGGTGAAAAAAAGGAATGAAATAATTGTTGATAGATTCGGCAAGTTTGCTGTTTTTATAGCATTGCCTGCGGAAGCTAAAACTGACTTAGTAATTCAGGAATTCTTTAACCACTGGGTAAAGGACTATGGTCATCCCTTGACTATCATTAGTGACAGAGACTCTTGATTCACCAGTGAACATTGGCAGCAACTAATGAGTGTCTATGGTTCTAAGTTGACAATGTCATCAGGCCGACACCCTGAGTCAAATGGGCAAACTGAGCAGATGAACAAGCTTTTGCAGCAGACATTGCGAATGTACATTCGTCCCGATCAGATCGACTGGGATGAACATTTGCCCAAAGTTGCCAGTGCCTATAATAACTCTGTGCACTTGTCTGCTTGCAGAACTCCGATGGAGTTACATTTGGGATGGAGTCCTTGCAGACCTATAGACTGACTAAAGCACATAAACTTCTGCCAGGGACCAGAGAGTTCGCAATACAGTATCAGAAAGATTTAGAAAAGGAAAAGGAGAATATACTAAAGCGCAACATCAAATGATTGAGCAGGCCAATAAGCACAGGAGACCTCATCAGTTTGATGTAGGTGATCTGGTTTGGGTGAAATCGAAAGAATTTATCCCAGAGGAAAACATATCTCAGAAACTGTTACCTGCCTACAGAGGACTGTGGCAAGTTTTGGATGTAATAGGGGATGTAGATGGACCCTCCTATGTTATTGAGATATCTCCACATTTGCGTACCTACCCGGTGTTCCACGCGTCAAAGCTCTTACCTTGTGTAACTAAGGAACTGTTTCCCAGTCGAAGGTCAGCAGTTCCTCCAAGTATGGATGGTAAATTTGATGCTGATAAGATCGTTGCTGAAAGTACTATCCAGACTGGATGAAAGAGCAAGAAGAGGTCTCAATATTGTGGACAGATAAGTGTTTCTCAGAGGACTTCGAAATTAGGCCGGCGAGAGTAATAAAAGGGCCTTTACGAATTAGACCCCAGATGAGTACCCCAACACGAGGGGCCCTGTCGGCCAGAACTTAAATTCATGAGCAACAAACCCAAAAGACAAGGTTCCTGAGGCAAATGTCACATCCATAATCAAATGAAAGGTCATTTTGAACAGTCACCAACAGGTCCTGAACGAACAGGTATTGGACACAGTTTTTAAGACTGAGAAAGGGTCATGTTTCCTCGA